AGGCCACAAACTGAAGTCACTAACACTAGCATAAGCAAACTTAGTCAACAATTCAAAAACCAATGCGCCAAATGCAATCCAAAACAGAAATCGAATAGAAATCAATAACAACAATCCAGAAATGGCAGACAAAAGAAGAAAATGGGAAATGGAGGTTACCTTGGTGACAGTCTTCCTCTTCTTGGTGAGCTTCTCCTTCTTGGCCTTAACCCTCTGAGCCTCCGCCAACAACGACATCCTCTTGGCAGTCTTAGCATAAGGATTCAACTTGAGCATCACGTTGAGGTTCTTCAACGGATTCTTCTTCATCACAGCCCTCTTCGCATCCTTCTTAATCGGCTTCACAACGCTCTGAACCTCATCGGAGTTGATAATCCTAGCGAGATCAGCATTCACCATCTTCGCACGAGGAAGCACGTACCCCTTCTTCTTCTCAGACGGCTTATCGAACGAGCCGTAGATCGACTCGAGCTTCTCGAAGGCAGACTTGGTCCAGATCACGAAACGGCCAAGGTGACCACCAGGAGCAAGCTTCAGCAAGTTAAGCCTCTCCACGTGGCAGAGCTCAACACCAGTAATGTTCCTAAAGGCCTTGACTATCTTAGCTCCTTCAGTTCCGTAAACCACGAGAGGACCTTTCCTCGATATGTAACGGCGGTTCCTCGCCTTACCTTTACCGGGACGGATCCCGATGCTGTCCTTGGCCTTCTCGGCGTCGTCGTAAGCTCCGAACTGCTTCAGAGCCTTGATCGCGGCTGATGTCTTCTCCAGTGCCTCGGTGGTGTCGCTGACAACAAGGGGCATCTCCGGGACGTTTTCGATGCGGTGACCGCGAGCCATCACGAGAGCTGGAACAGCAGTCGCGGCGATCGCTGAGACGATTGCGTGCCTCTTCATGTTCACATTGACGCGACGGTGCCATTTCCTCCAGATCTTCGTCGGAGCGAACATTCGACCACCACGACACATGTTACCGAAGGCGGCCTGACCGGCACGGTGGGTACCGCCTCCGGGAACACGAGGGATACGGGAGACGGCACGACCGGTTCCCCATGACTCGGCGGAGGTCTGGTGACCGGCTTTCTTCGACACGGCGTAAGGCTGGCGGCTGTTGTTGGAGATCTGGGCGTGGACGAAGCTGACCACGTCTGGGCGAATCGGCGCCGTCATGACATCGGGCAACACCACGGTGAAGGACTGATCGGTGCTCATGTCACCGTCCAAACCCTGGACGGAGACGAGAGGACGTGCGGCGGCGGCGGCCATTTCTGTCTCTCGATATGTGTTTTCTCTCTTCACTCACTGTCTCTCGACTCGATGAGACTTCTAGGGCTTCCCCGCAGCCCCAGCTTAAGAATAAATATATGCTACGATTTCGATTAGGGTTTAATGTCGAAATCTCGATTACTGGGCCTTAAAAAGCCCAAATAATTTACTTTTGCTTTCAAGCCCAAAAATTCAAAGTCTCCACGTGATATAACTTGTGGGTTCAAAGACTGTGTGATTCAGGTTTTGAGGATAGCTTACTCTGAATTTAAGGCAAAATTTACTTTGGCACGTTTTGAATTTACTCTTCGTGTACTGCCTTCTTGATCTACAGGACTACAGATAAGGTTCAGAAAAACGGGACACTAGCACATGTGCCACATCAAAAATCTGGTGATGAACCTATTGGGCTTATGTTTTATTTACCCACATGTGCCACACTAATATTTACCCTCTTATCTTAGGATTTGGACAACTGACACCAGCTTAGCTAAAAACATAACCCGATAAAGAGGGTAAATATTAGTGTGGCACATGTGGGTAAATAAAACACACTAATAGGTCAGATAAACCTAATCTTAGGATTTGGACAACTGACACCAGCTTAGCTAAAAACATAACCCGATAAAGAGGGTAAATATTAGTGTGGCACATGTGGGTAAATAAAACATAAGCCCAATAGGTTCATCACCAGATTTTTGATGTGGCACATGTGCTAGTGTCCCGTTTTTCTGAACCTTATCTGTAGTCCTGTAGATCAAGAAGGCAGTACACGAAGAGTAAATTCAAAACGTGCCAAAGTAAATTTTGCCTTAAATTCAGAGTAAGCTATCCTCAAAACCTGAATCACACAGTCTTTGAACCCACAAGTTATATCACGTGGAGACTTTGAATTTTTGGGCTTGAAAGCAAAAGTAAATTATTTGGGCTTTTTAAGGCCCAGTAATCGAGATTTCGACATTAAACCCTAATCGAAATCGTAGCATATATTTATTCTTAAGCTGGGGCTGCGGGGAAGCCCTAGAAGTCTCATCGAGTCGAGAGACAGTGAGTGAAGAGAGAAAACACATATCGAGAGACAGAAATGGCCGCCGCCGCCGCACGTCCTCTCGTCTCCGTCCAGGGTTTGGACGGTGACATGAGCACCGATCAGTCCTTCACCGTGGTGTTGCCCGATGTCATGACGGCGCCGATTCGCCCAGACGTGGTCAGCTTCGTCCACGCCCAGATCTCCAACAACAGCCGCCAGCCTTACGCCGTGTCGAAGAAAGCCGGTCACCAGACCTCCGCCGAGTCATGGGGAACCGGTCGTGCCGTCTCCCGTATCCCTCGTGTTCCCGGAGGCGGTACCCACCGTGCCGGTCAGGCCGCCTTCGGTAACATGTGTCGTGGTGGTCGAATGTTCGCTCCGACGAAGATCTGGAGGAAATGGCACCGTCGCGTCAATGTGAACATGAAGAGGCACGCAATCGTCTCAGCGATCGCCGCGACTGCTGTTCCAGCTCTCGTGATGGCTCGCGGTCACCGCATCGAAAACGTCCCGGAGATGCCCCTTGTTGTCAGCGACACCACCGAGGCACTGGAGAAGACATCAGCCGCGATCAAGGCTCTGAAGCAGTTCGGAGCTTACGACGACGCCGAGAAGGCCAAGGACAGCATCGGGATCCGTCCCGGTAAAGGTAAGGCGAGGAACCGCCGTTACATATCGAGGAAAGGTCCTCTCGTGGTTTACGGAACTGAAGGAGCTAAGATAGTCAAGGCCTTTAGGAACATTACTGGTGTTGAGCTCTGCCACGTGGAGAGGCTTAACTTGCTGAAGCTTGCTCCTGGTGGTCACCTTGGCCGTTTCGTGATCTGGACCAAGTCTGCCTTCGAGAAGCTCGAGTCGATCTACGGCTCGTTCGATAAGCCGTCTGAGAAGAAGAAGGGGTACGTGCTTCCTCGTGCGAAGATGGTGAATGCTGATCTCGCTAGGATTATCAACTCCGATGAGGTTCAGAGCGTTGTGAAGCCGATTAAGAAGGATGCGAAGAGGGCTGTGATGAAGAAGAATCCGTTGAAGAACCTCAACGTGATGCTCAAGTTGAATCCTTATGCTAAGACTGCCAAGAGGATGTCGTTGTTGGCGGAGGCTCAGAGGGTTAAGGCCAAGAAGGAGAAGCTCACCAAGAAGAGGAAGACTGTCACCAAGGTAACCTCCATTTCCCATTTTCTTCTTTTGTCTGCCATTTCTGGATTGTTGTTATTGATTTCTATTCGATTTCTGTTTTGGATTGCATTTGGCGCATTGGTTTTTGAATTGTTGACTAAGTTTGCTTATGCTAGTGTTAGTGACTTCAGTTTGTGGCCTTTCTTTACTATATCATCTGTTCTGATCCTAAATATGTTATACTGATGTTCTCTTGTAAATTGGTTGTGTTTCTTTGCTTATTATCGATGGAGATGTATCTTATGGCTCATTTTCTAATGGAGATTTTATTTTCGCTTAGCAATCAAATGTCTCTGCAATTACGGTCTGATTGCGTAGTCTTGTTAGAGTTTTCTTCTTTGATTTGTTTTTTAATCGTCTTTTTGAACCTCTTGAATCCACAGGAGGAGGCATTGGCAATCAAAGCAGCAGGGAAGTCGTGGTACCAGACTATGATCTCAGACAGTGATTACACCGAGTTTGACAACTTCACCAAATGGCTTGGTGCTAGCCAGTAATCATCATCTTATCTGTTTGGAAACACTTTCATGTTTAGTGAAAGATTTTGTTTTATTTCTGTTGTCTTTTGGAGTCTGGATACTAAGTTGAATCATGAACAAGTTTTATGTTATTTAGACAAGGCATTGGCTTTTTTCTCGATTACTTTGATAATTCGAAAAGATTATATCTTCGCAGCTGATTTTATAAAACCATTTCATACTTTAATTTTTAATATTCAATTTTAAAGCTAATAATTGTTAGCTTCAAAACAATGGAGTTCTCGGCTTGGCGTTTATTTACGTAAGACTGATGTTGAAGCAGAATAATCAGTCTTAGGATTTGGACATCTCCTCGGACACCAGCTTATATAAAACATAACCCGATTGAGAGGCAAAATTAACTAGAGATTTAACCAACAGATGAACATATATAACATACACAACAACAAAAAAACCAAGAAATATAAGTAGATTTTTGTACAAGAAGTTAACAGGGCGGATGAGGATGAGGCTGCCTTGCAACAGCTAACCGCCTTGAACACCAAGAACTAACCCTTATACAGTAATATGTTATACCTACCACTCACGGAACTAGTCCTGGTCAAAATCTCTGCACATGTCCCCTAAAGCTTGAAAAACTTCACTCATGTTTCTTCTCCTTAAAACAACAAACCGTACTAAACACACCCTATACACTATCCCCAACTTCGCATTGACAAGATTGTGACTGATTCCCACTGACGTATAACTCAAAAGCTTTATTAAACATGGAAACTCGACGAGTAAACCTGCAAATACGGTGAGCACCACATGTAACTCCTATGCAAGAACTTAGAAAATTATCCGGTCATTTTGAGTGTGACTGATACTATTACCAGTGAGAACTGTATAACTCTATATGCAAACCATAAGCAGATATCTAGAATCTATCTATTGATGGTTTCGGATAAAGATTAGAGTGTTTTCTTGCATTTGCATTTCAAACGTATGAGGAGAGAGAAGAATAAGAAAAATACTTACGTGATAACTGAAGGATGATATCTTCGTTACGATGATGATTTGTCGCTTGTTGAGGTCTTGACAATGGAACCAGTGGCAACGCTTGAGATCTCAGTTTTCACTTCATATGATGAGAGGACTTTCCTCTGCAGTATCATTACAGTCGGACTAGCTATGGTTAGTTTACATTTGATCACGCAAAGGTGAAAGAAGTGACACCAACTTATTGGTTTAGAGAGTGAAATATATCAGAACAGAGTTGGTCATCACAAAACTTTTTATCGTAAATTTAACACTTACAGCAGATTCGAAATCAGGGTTTGATAAGTTTACTGTGAGGTTTCTCATCAGTAACACAACCTGCAAAACAATAATACTGCGATGAGTTAAAAGGAAGCTAGAAGCTTGCACATCAAGTAAATCTGAAAGTTTCTAAGCTCTGACTCACAGTTTCGAAATTTATAGGATCCATTTCCTTGAGCTTTTCCACGTGGCCTCTCGTTTCAGGATCAAAGACACTCCCTATGAAGTTATAAACTTCAGCAAAATCAGGAACACCTGCAAGCAAAGCAATCATCAGTACAGTGTCCATCACAAAACAAATATAGTAGAAAAACCAAGAACGATTACCGTGAAGCACAGGAGGCTGTTTTGTCTGTTTGACATTCTCAGAACCTGATACTGTTCGGCTTGAGCTTCCCACACCGGATGTGGAAGGGCTACTAACATTTAATAGGCCCTTGGATCCAATATCAGCTGAATAATTGGCGTTATATGCCATAATAAGCACATGAAACGTCCTTTGGATGAAACCTATTCTACTAACATATACCAAAAGAAAAGAAAAAAGAGAAGAAACAATACAAAAAAACACAGACGAAAGAGCATGCCTTCTGCTCCAAGAAGAGTAGCAAGTTCTTGCTGTGGTGAAATAACTCTGTTTAGCAGCATTGATGCCTCATCCCACGAAGTATATCCCGGCATGTCGCTATTTGGAGTAGAAAAAGAAGTGGAAACTTGAAGTGGTGGCATTTGAGCTTCAAAAACGTGAGTTAAAAAACTCGAAAATGGATATTAATCTCTCTAACCAGACTAATAAAAAGTATTATAGTAAAAGCAACGAACCGTTCTTGGATGCCTTTTGAGGATACGGATGAGATGCTTTGCGCTTAGGCCTAGGAGGTGGCACATGTGCTAGTGTCCCGTTTTTCTGAACCTTCAAGAAGTATTTTTGGGCATGGCTCCTTATCTGTGTAGTAAATCAACAAGGCAGCACAGGAAGATAAGTTCAAAACGAGCCAAAGTAAATTTTTGACTAAAATTCAGAGTAAGCAGCTATCCTCAAGACCTGAATCACAGTCTTTGAACCCACAAAATCTTCTATCTTCTTCCAGTCACGATCAAACCTGAGGAACGAAGAATAGAGACGAAAAATTTAACTCAACTAAAGCAGATATATCTAGCTAAGAACTAAACCTAGCTAACACACAAAGCTTTCCTCTGTTTGTTCAGAAATCAGCAGCAAGATTAACTAAACTAAGTAACTTTAACTTGACGAGGACAAAAGAATGGCAATAGAAGCAGAGATCTTACAGTTGAAGGGCTTCTATAAACTTATCGTGCTCTTCCTCTGACCAGCTCTCCCTGGACTTGGTGATGGTATAAGGCTTCCTCACTTTCTTTGAGGAACCTTCCGCCATCGCAATCTTAGTTGTCGTATCTGTCGATGTAGATGACGGTGGTGGTGCTTCGACCGACGTCGGAATCCTTAACGGCGACGAGCTCATCGGTTTAGTTCAGATAGCTACAGTGTTTAGAGAGAGAGAGAGAAAGAGGAAAGTCCACATGGCGGGCAAGAAAGTTGGTGTTTGTGTATATTATGTGGACTGTGTTTCGCTTCGATCCTAGACCATCCATTTTTTCAATTTTTATTTTGTCGTAATTATATTTTAATATTTTAGCGCCTCAAGTTATATCACGTGGGGACTTGCAGTCTTCCAAGTCATGAAATTCTATGGTCGTGCTTTTTTTTGTTTCATTTTAATTTTTCCTTTTGGTATGGATGAAAAGGACTTGTACCGAATCAAACAAATTGCCAAATGCCAAATCAAAAATAATTCAAACATGACATAAACATAACCAAATTAAGGATCCACGTCCCTCCAAAATTAAGTGCTTCATGTCTTATCGTCGTTGATATCATCATGATATAAGTTGATAACAGCTTTCCACTAAGCTAAACAAAATTAAATTAGTTATCAAACGAAGAATATGCAATAAGTCGATATGTCCGAGTGGTTAAGGAGACAGACTTGAAATCTGTTGGGCTTCGTCCGCGCAGGTTCGAACCCTGCTGTCGACGTTTTTTATATTTTTTATCGTCTCCCATCGTGTGCGGTCGTTTTAAGGACACTATTTAAATCAAATGAAAATTTCGATAGCCATTTAAGATGTATAATCTGGATCGAATTCCATCTTCAACACATGGATATATGTATATGAGAAAACAAAAAAATGTTTTCAATCTCTATCATTTTATTGTATCCGATCGAAAGGGCTTTCACCTTCGTAATTTCCAATTGGATTATATTCACACACTACAAGATACCCACGATTGTTACTACACTTCGCACGTGCGCATCCAACGGCTGTCGTGGAACGCCACACGATCTGCGTGTAATGGCCGCACATCTTGCCCGATGCACATGTATTTGTTTTCGAGTCGTAGTTAAACCTTTCCTCAGACCATCTCTTCACCACTTTTCCAAGCGACCACATACTATTTTCCCGGTACCAGAAAATGTTCTCGCCGTAAGGTCCACCGGAATGTAACATACTGCAATCGGATTTACGTTGTTTGGCCCATTTATCAGCGAATCGAGCTAGACCTTTGTCCCATCGAAGAGGTGGCACGCCTGAAGCCGCACGAGCTATGTTGTGTGTGTATAGAAACTCTCTTGCCTGTTTTGCTTTCCTCGCTCGGTTCAACATGCGCGCCGCCGCGTTTCTGATGCCGGGAATGAAAGTTGCATCAGCGGAGGGATGACCGGAAAAGAGAAGGACGATGAAAAGAAGACATGATGATGGGTGAGCTAACGTTAGAGACATGTTCACGTCTTTGTGTAGTTATTGTGTCTCGTCATGATTTTCTCTGTTTCTAAGGTTTTTTTTTTTTGGTTTGTTACTCTATTCCGTTAGAAATTTGTTGTTTTTAACAGATTGTCTGAGTATGTTGTTCTCGGATCTTTTAAGAAGTTTTCTTATTTTGGGTTGAAAAAGAAACTGCCGTGTATTTTTAGGTTTTGGTTTACAGTTGTTAATGTATGCAACTACCAACCAACTAGTAGTATATGGATTTTGGACAAGAATTTGACATAAATAGAGAAATGAAAGAAAAAATGAAAAAAGAAAACGTCACCAGCAGGATTCGAACCTGCGCAGGCAAAGCCCAACAGATTTCGAGTCTGTCTCCTTAACCACTCGGACATATTGACTTTTGCTAGCTAATATAACGTATTTAAATAAAATCTTTTGAAAGTGCATTGACAATTTGAAGTAAACTCTTTCGGAGTGAGTTATCTCAGTCGTTTTTTTGAACCCATCATGCTTTGCACAATTATGTGCCTTTGCTGACCAGACGAGCTAAGCGATAACCATTTAAAGTTAGCGAAAAGGAGCTTCAGAGCCAAGAATCAGATAGTTAGTTAATTAAGCAGTGAACTCGTTGAACAGAAAGAGACAAATGGAAAGTTGATTTATTTCCCTTAATTTTCTTCTTTAAAGAAAAAGAAGTAAACAGTCGAAGTAGAAAGCCAAGCCTCCAAACACTGAGGAAGAACAAAATCCATTACAGTTGTCTAAAAGACTAAAACCATTTCAAGTCTTATATAAGCTATTGAGCAATCACCAAAACAGGTGTCTTCCCATTCTTCACTGGTCATCATCCTCCGCAGGGCTGCGATCTTCTCTTGGGCTGTGTCCAACTCTAGGGCTACGGTCGTCTCTGGGACTACGACTCTGGTCTATCCCATCATCATCGTTTCCTCTCGGGCTGGGTGCATTCTCTTTGGGGCTGTACTTTTCACGCATTGGGCTACCTTCTTCAGGACTCAGGCTTCGCTTCCTATCTTTGGTAAGAGGAGAGTTGTCAACCATTGGTTCAGGGCTTCTGCTTCTTCCAGCTTCAGGACTTCGATCCTTTTCCTTCCTAACCGGTGATCTCGATCGACTGAGAATCCAGACCCAAACAGAACAAAATAGAGTTGTATTAGAATCAAAACTTGTGCTTGGTGTAGTGAACCTATTAAGGGATATTGGGACAACAGTTACCTATAGCTACGGCCACGGCTGTAGCTTCTGCTTCTGCTTCTGCTTCTGCTTCTGCTAGGGCTTCTTCTTCTGCGACGAGGAGACCGAGACCTGGACCGAACTGGCGATCTTGAGTAACTTTCGTCCCGACTGAAATACAATCAAAACAAATGATCAAACTAGAACTTCTAAGAAAAGAAAATGTTATAGGCCCTAATAGAGAAATGGAATAGTCAAACAATACCTGAGCTTCTTAGGACTGTTCTTGCAGTTTCTCTCGATGTGACCTCTATCTCCACATCGATAACATTTATTCTTCCAGTCACCAGAAGTGCAATCTCGAGCCCAATGTCCATCAAGACCACAGTTGAAACAACGACCACTTCCTGGAGGAGGTCCTCTGCTCGAGGTAAATTCTCGGGAGCCACGAGGTGTCTACACCAGACAAAATCCCCAAAAGGGTCAGTCAAATGAAAGAAAACTAAAAATTCTTAAAACTGACCAAAAACAAACAAAGAGAAGGTTTCTAATAAAATAGGATTATACCCCTTTTGCAAACTCCACAACGATACGGCTTCCATCAAAGTCTCTTCCGTCCAACCTGTACCTCGCATCATCAGCATCACGAGGATCACTGAAGTCCTGTGATCAAAAAGTGAACATACAACATACCACACAGAATAGTCATTAATAGGACACTACTTACTTAATTAGTTTTGGAGTAAAGGGACAAACTAGTTTGTACAACTTACGATGAAGGCGTAGTCTCGCTTCATGTCCACATCTCGAATTCTGCGGAAATGGTTTGCCAGAAAGAGTAAGGCCATCATTATAAACTTCTAAGAAGTGCTACTGGTGTAGCTAGTGTTATAACACTTCATCATCAACGGCAGCACAAAACACCAGATTTGAGATTGATTGTTGCCATTTTCACCATTAAAACACGCAAAAACACTACAAACAGAACCGCCATTATCCCCTTAAACACCATGAAAGAATTTCCACCAATGGGGACCCTCTCTCACCATATATCTCCAGGTCAAGAAAACCTTCAACAAGATCATTCAGGTTAATATATGCTACGCGTTCCCACCCACATAATTCAACGAATACAAAAGAATTCACATATCAATCGTATTCCAGGCCTGAATTAGTACCAGAAAGGCCGCCACAATCCATAATATGAGTTAAACAAAAGATGTTAAATCTAAAAACCATAGCTTTTATTAACCACAAAAGCTGACTAAGTTCACAATTCTAGCAAAACAGAACAGCTGAAAACAGATATGTTAGTTACCTTCCATATTTGCTGAAGAGCCGTTCAAGATCTCGTTCCCTTGTTCGAGAGGACAGGTGGCCAACGTAGAGGCGACTGCTGCTGTAACGATCATCGTAGCGAGGCATCTTCAAGCTTCAGAAGAAAAGAAAGGATAATCCAATCAGCATACATGTTAACACCGCTAATGTGATAGTTGAAATCACGACCTTTGATATAAAGAAGACTGAAACATAGCTCTCATTTCTAATAGCATCGTATCGTATAAAGCTAATATGATCTTTGATCTTTGAAATAATGAACTTTTTTGCAAATCTTTCTCATTCTGTATCAAACCCCATCAGGCACACAAACAATAAAGAACAAGTTTACCAAACAAGAGAAATCACGATGCCAATCGAAAACTGATAACAAAATTATCACCTTTTAGCGTATTCAAAATCTGAAACCCAATTAGCACATAAACTAAAAAGAAGACTTGATCACAGTACCAGAGAAAAATTACTCGATTGTTGAATCAAAATCACAATACATACAGAGCGCACATCTTTTTGAATCAACTTCGTATCGAGATCAAATGATCAATGAAACTCCATGACGTCCCGAATTGATTAACATCAAGATTTACATCGAAACATCAAATTATCGAGAAATGGAGAAGATAAACTGTAAAAAGAACTGTAATTTCGATAGAAATTTTCCCAGAATTGCCATACCTTCTGATTAGATACTTCGCCGCACTCGGTGAAGCTCGAAATCTAACTTCTCTGTTCTCTCTCGAAACTGAGTTAGCTCAGATCTAGAAACACACATAAAAGAGGAAGATAACATCTGACGGTCAATATTACTTGCTACCAAACCAACGGCACAGATCCCATACTCTACTAACAAACTTTCTTTATTCAAAAGAAATTAAACATTTTTTATCAGACAAACCATTTTCCCGGGGAAAAAAATGTTAACGAATGAGAAGAAACCTTATCCACACTTGTTAAAATGCCACTGGCGATCTCTCTCCCAACCTCATCTACCTGCCATTTCTTCCCTCCCCGCCGCGGCCATGCTAATCTCCGATATCGACGCTTTCCCGGAGCTCGATCTTCCGCCGAAGCGCCGTACAATCGGAAGAATCAGACGGGCGTCATCATCATCGGCGCTGGACTCGCTGGTTTAGCCGCCGCGACTCGGCTCAATTCCGAACGAATCCCTTTCCTACTCTTAGAGGCTTCCGACGGCGTCGGCGGACGCGTCCGCACAGATATCGTCGACGGCTTCTTTCTCGACAGAGGATTTCAGATTTTCATCACTGCGTATCCCGAAGCTAAGAAGCTTCTAGATTACGAAGCGTTGGATTTGCAGAGATTCTACGCCGGAGCTAAGGTTTTCTACGGCGGAAAATTTCACACGGTTGCTGATCCTCTCCGACATTTATGGGATTCGGTGGCGTCTCTCACGAACCCGATCGGATCCGTCGTGGACAAAGGGCTTATCGCGTTGACGAGAGCTAGAGTTCTAATCAAGTCAGACGAAGAGATATTAAGTGCCGCCGACGAGGTTCCGACCATTGATCTACTCCGGAAGATCGGTTTCTCCGACGAGATATTGGATCGTTTCTTCCGACCATTCTTCGGCGGAATTTTCTTCGATAGAGACCTCCAGACGACCTCGAAGCTCTTTGATTTCGTTTTCCGGTGTCTTGCTCTCGGAGAAAACACGCTTCCGGCAATGGGAATCGGAGAAATCCCTAACCAGCTGGCCGCGAAATTACCCGCTAATTCCGTCATGTTGAACACACGGGTCGCTTCGATTGATTATCCAAATGGGTCGGGTTCAGATTCTCGTTCGGGTCCACCTGCCGTAAGACTCCAAGACGGCGGCGTTGTAACGGCTGAGCTAGGTGTCATACTCGCCGTCGAGCAACCGGAAGTGGATAAGCTTCTCGATGGAATCAGAGAACCGGTTACGACTAAACCGCCTCGGAGCACGATCTGCCTTTACTTCACAGCTGAACCGAACCAAATACCTGTGCAAGATCCGGTTCTATTTCTCAATGGGTCAAGCAGCGGTATAATCAACAACATGTTCTTCGCTACCAACGTTGCCCGTACATACGCGCCGCCAGGAAAGGCTCTGGTTTCGGTGTCATTGATCGGTTTGTTCGAGGATAGATCCGATGAGGATTTAGCAGCAGAGGTTGTCAAAGAGCTATCGGGTTGGTTCGGTGAGGCTTCGGTAACGTCATGGAGACATTTGAAAACGTACCGGATCAAGTATGCTCAACCGAACCAATGCCCACCCACTGATTTGGTTAAGAGCCCTCGGATCGGGTCGGGTCTTTACTTGAGCGGTGATTACATGACTTCTGCCACATTTGACGGAGCTTTGGTCTCTGGGAGACGAGCCGTGGAAGTTTTGTTACGAGAAAAGGGACTAATCTGAGCATTCTCTAGTGAATTTCTGTCACTTTACTTTATTTAAAAAAATTCTTTTTGTAACTTCATCTCTTCTAGAATGCATCGATCCTTTAAGATCATATATCTATTTTAGTGTTAGCTGTTTCATCTGTATAAAGTGGAAGGCTAGAATGTTTGTGTCTGATGAAGAGCAAGTAAACACACACACACACACAGAAGAAAAAAATGTTGATAGATTCTAGAAATGGGAACCAAGTAAAAGTTGCCCACTAATGGTAGCAGAAGCAAGAATATATATGCTATGAACACTTCAAGCGGATCAACAAAATGAAGTATCCATACAGAATAAATATAGAGTCGGGTAAAGCAGATTCCATTGAGTGACAATACATTTACCAAACAGCAAAGGAACTGATCTTCAACTTACTAAGCAAGCTTTTACAATATAAGAGCACTACACAGTCACTTTCCCTTTTGCAAGTACACTACTTCTGAAGTACCAAAAGAAAAAGAAAGAAGAAAAGAGAGAGCAAACCTCCTCGAAGCTTATAGTGTCCTTGACCTGTCTCAGAGTTCAAAGTCATCCTCCTTCAAGGCCAGCTCCGCAGCTTCTTCATCTTCTTCATCTAAAACGAAATACTCATTCTTCTCAACCGGCCTAAACATATAGAACATCAATATGTAAAACGCCAAGCTTGCAATCTCCTCAGCTGCATTGCTCACCCACTGATACTTGTAAGCTGCGATTGTCTTCAGCGCAAACACTACGATCCTCGTGAAGTACAAGTACCCGATGACCACGATGTAGAATTGTCTAAACAGAGTCAATTTCGCCAAGTTCCTAGCCGCTTTTCCATCGGTTTTCGAGGTCTCTCTCAGTGCACGTATCGACCAAACAATTGGGAACAAGATTGCGCAGCAACATATAATATCTACAAGCAAGAATATCTGGTTCCAAGTTACCCAGTCTTTGATGAAAGGTCCAGTCTCTCCGATCACAATGGAAGCTATGTTGGCGAGAACCTGAAGCGGGACGACGACCATCAACACGTTCTTCTCTTTCTCCTGCAAGAACGGCTTCAGGAAGGACCAGCCAGTTCCGATCAACACAATCACCGTGAAGAGAAGGACGACGCGGATAAACTGGAAAATGTAGAATAGGACGTCCCAGCCGTGAGGAGTTCCGGTGACTTTCACGTAGTGCTTGTCCTCTGCGGCGCAGATCAAATTCAGGGCCTTCATTAGGAGGAGAGCCGCCATGAGAACGTGGATCCTATGAACGACCCCTTTATTGACCACGCAGACATAGCCCCAGAGACCGAGGAAAGCTAAGTAGCTGAGGAAGAAGAAGAGATACAATCCGGGTAATCGGGTTGACCCGACTGGGAGGTAGTCCTTTGACCCGTTCGGATCTAGATTATACATCTCCGTTCGGACCTTCATCGAAATACTGGTTCCCGGTACGCAATTCACGAAGAAGAGAGAGTACTCGTTCGGAGAAATTACCGGATACAAGTGCTCGTACTTGGAACCCGGCGGAGGAGAGAGATCGCGGAATGTGAAGAGATGGAGGACGTAAGGGGAATCGAGCACACAGAAGTTAGGGTTTTGCTGGATCTCGAGGACCACCTGGAGAAGCGATTCCTCTGACATAAGGAAGAAACCCAGCCTCGACGGATCCGGGATCGGAACACCCGAAGGAGACGCTACTGATACGGAGGAAACAGAGACGCTAACGTGCCCCGATTGAGTGAATCCGAACTTCTCGAAGAGAATCATCGGCCTAGAATCGTCGGAAATGGTGAGAGACTTTATCTCCGCCGTCATGCGAGGGATGAAACTGGCGGCGAAGAGGAGGAGGACGACGAAGAGGGGTAATCTCGTCATTTTGCGCCGTAATCGTAGAGTAGGGAGATGATGCTTCTCGTGCTTTTTTTTCTGTGATTGGCTTTTCCTTTGGAGAAATGAAAATGGCGTTTGACCCGATTTCAAGCTGCTAAGCCAAACGACGCCGTCTTGTAGACGGAAGATTCTGCTCTCACAAGCCCATTGGGCTTTACTGATCGAGTACTAAAAGAATTCAAAACTCTAGAGTCTTAACCAAAAGAGGAAGCGAGAACGTAGTGGCCTAGTGGGTACGAGGTGAGAATGTGTAACACGTGCGTTGCACCTGTCTCATTATTCGCCTCTGTATCAATTTTTTATTATCCGCTAGAGAGACAAAAAGGAGGAAAAACTAAAAATACAACAACTATTCATAGTATAAAATTACTGTAGCTGTTATAGAGATGCTCTAAAAAGGTCTTTGCGTATAAATTATGGAACCGACCACCGTGATTTGGTAACTTCAATGGAAACACGAGTTAGGTGAGAATGTAGTCACATTTGGACACTTGTAAACGATGATGCTTATTAAACACATCTAAAACACTTGTTACATTTAATACATATTGATTGATAAAATGCGAGAAATTTGCGAAATATCAGCCGCAGATGAAGAAGCAAAATTCCGACAGAATAAAGATAAAATCGAATAAACAAATTTAGATCCATAGCACCGAAATGTAACATTGTAATAAACACGACGGCTATATGGATATATAAGAATGTCATTGTTTTCAGCTATATATTTGATCCATAATGTCACAACAATAAACTGAACACTTGATGCTAATAAAAACGAAAACAAGCCCGCACTCCTGTAGTCCAGTGGAAAGGGGAAGCCTTGGTGAAGGGTGAAACTCTCATACGCGGGTTCGATCCTTCCTGGAAACAAAATCACATTTATGTGGAAAGTCTGTCAGTTGGGCCTAGGCCCAATTGGTTTACCTGGTAATTAGAAATGCAGGTGGTCTAATTACCCTCTGGCATTAGTCGGAAGGCACTCCAAACTCGGAATAGGCGGTGTGGTAGTTCTTAGGATGAGTCCACTTTGTAGCACCTTGGTGCGTTCTTACCGGGGCTAACCGGAAGCCAATAAGGTCTATAAAAAAAGAAAAACGAAAACAAAAGCATAGGTTATTTTTCTTCAACAAACAAAACGTAATTTGATGAATTAACTTGCATGTCTCTTATATATAAGGAAAAAAGTGGCACGTTTACATTATTATATCTAAGCCTATTAGGAATGTCGTATAGTTCTGGTTCGTGATGTAATGTAAACAAGCAAAAATTGTCTTTTACGTATAGAAAACGAATATACCACTTATATGCTTTCATCGTGTGGATCACCGGATGTAATATTCCCAGGAGGGCCACGACTATCCATTATTATTATTTTTTTCATCTTAACTTATAAATTTTACTTCAAAAGATGTTACACACCATCCCAACTTCAAACTACAGGGACGAACTCAAGACACGACACAGGTCGGTCCATCCATTTTTATTCATTTTGACAAACTTTTTTCAATATTAAATTTTACTTATTGTCTTTACCAAACCTGTTTTTTACCATTAATCTTCCAATACGAAATTTAATTTTGAATTTCAAGTATGGAAGAAAATGTGAAATGAGAAACTCACGAGTCATAATACAAATTCGGTCTAAAATCAAGGCATTTGTTTTTGGTTTTTCCTTTGAGATTCGTCGTACTTCGTAGCATCTTCTACCACAAGTCGAGTGAAATGGAATACCAATCATACCCTTTAAAAGATGTACTAATTACGACGAAAACCCTGGACCCTTCTCGTAATTCTCCCTCCTCCCTTCACAGACGACTCATCTGTATTTAAGCAAATTACAGTGTCGCTTAGTCATGGCGGATTTAATTTTTCTGGTTATCCAAACAAACATCTTTTCTCTCTTTCTTGGAAAATCCCCCACCGGTAAAACACAATCAACGAAGCAAAGAAAAGTCTTCTCTACTTGGATTTTAAAAATAAATCGGGAATCTTTATAGGAACCCAATATAATGCAATCAATATAATAGGAGAAATATCATAAAAATCCATTTCAATTCAATAGAATCTCGATTAGGAGCAACGGGATTCGTCGTTTCTTCCCGCGGCGTTTAATTTCCTCGGATTCATCGCTTAATCTGTAAGTTTAACCTCAAATTTGGTCTATTTCGTTATCGCGATTTCTGTCTCCTGAGATTTAGAAAAAGCTGAATCCTAGTTTCTTCGTAGACTGTTATCGTATTTCGTTTGCATCAGTCCAGAAATGAAAACCCTTTTTGATCTTTATCTGTTTTGGGTTAGTTCAAAAACTGATGCTTGTTGGAATTGCTAACGCTGCATGCCTGAAATCGGAATATTACGAATGGAATTTGCTGGGTTTTTCTTCTTAATTTTGATCTGATTCGATTTTCCTCTCTGTGCTTTTTTCGTTTTTTAGTCTCACATGTTATTGTGGCTTCTCTAATTTTGGATTGTTGGGTTGTTTTGCTTCATTTGCAGGCTGGAATTTACTTTTTCTGGTCTAGAAGCTCTCTCTAGTCTGTAGAGACATTTGTATATGATTTAGGATTTAAAACAGTAAAAAGTCAAAGCTTTTTTCTCTCTAAGATTTTTGAGGAAATGAGTTTGGTTGGAAAAGTTAGGAGTTTGATTTCTCAAGGCGTTTACTCTGTTGCTACACCATTTCATCCATTTGGTGGTGCTATTGACGTGATCGTTGTGCAACAAGAAGATGGTTCGTTTCGTAGCACGCCTTGGTATGTTAGGTTTGGTAAGTTCCAAGGTGTTCTCAAAGGCGCAGAGAAGTTTGTGAAGATCTCTGTAAATGGCACCGAAGCGGATTTCCACATGTATCTTGATAATTCTGGTGAAGCATATTTCATCAGGGAAGTTGATCCTGCAGCTAGTGACACCAGCAGTTTGATTACAGGGAGTGAGAATAGCAATGGCAATGAGACTAACGGCGTTGGTTTACGAATTGAGCATAGTTTATCTGACGCTGGTGCTGAGCAGTTGCGAGAGGGTTTCAACTCTTTGAGTCGGCTGGAGAGGTCAGAGTCTGATTGTAATGGGAGGTTTTATGATTTTCAGGATGATCCGCCTTCTCCTACCTCGGAATATGGT